AGCCTGCTCTAGTATATATGGGTGACCAGCTGTCCCAGCCTTATTTCTGTGTGTGAATGTCCTTTCCCTACTGACCTATAGGGCCATGCAGGCATTTGCATGGGATTGATGTCTGAGCTCATCTGTGTAGTGGTTGCTTCATCATTTGTCCCTGTGCCATTTGACATCTGGTAAGGTAACTTCCCCAAGCTGGTTGTCTTTCTTAAAACTTTGGGGGAGACCACGCAGTTGCTGTTTCTCTCTCTCCCTCTCTCTCTGTCTCTCTCTCTCTCTCTCTTTTTCTTTTGAGTCAATGTCTCACTCTGTTGCTCAGGCTGGATTACAGTAGCACAATCAAAACTCACTGCAACCTCAACCTCCTGGGCTCAAGCGATCCTCTTACCTCAGCCTCCCTAGTAGCTGGGACTACAGGCATGTGCCACCATGTCGGGCTAATTTTTATTTTTTGTAGAGACAGGGTCTCTTCCTCAGTCTGGTCTTGAATTTCTGGCCTCAAGCGATCCTCCCACCTCGGTCTCCCAAAGTGCTGGGATTACAGGTGTGAGCCACTGTATTCAGCCTTGTTTCTCTCACTGTATGCTTATCAAAGCCCAGAACTCTTCTGTGACCAGATGTGTGCAGTTTTCCCCACCCCACACACTTCTCTGGTGGACACCAACCAGTTGTCTTCTCATTCATTTCAATTCTGACACTGTTTACCCCACAGGGTAGGCTCAGCCCTAGATGACTGCCTCCAGACCTTGAACTTCAGACACCAATTGTGAGTGAAGGTTCTCACCTACACTTCTGACTGACTAGTTATATATTGGGGTTCCCATGGCCCCAGCAGCTTGAATTTGATCATTACTAGGACAGCTTACAGAACTCAGGGAAGCACTTACTTACATTTACTGCTTTATAATAAAAAAAACTTTACAAGAGATACAGATGAACAGCTATGAAGAGATGCCCAGGGTGAGGTGGTGTGGGATGGGTGGGGTATGGGCTTTCAGGCTCTGTTTGTGTTCAGCAACCCAGAAGCTTATCAAATCTCTTGTTCAAGAGTCTTTTAAAAATTATTTATTTATTTTTTATTTATTTATGATATAAGGTCTCACTCTGTTGTCCAGGCTGGAGTGCAGTGGTTCAATTGTAGCTCACTGCAGTTTCCAGCTCCTGGCCTCAAGTGATCCTCCCTCCTTGGCCTCCCAGAATGCCAAGATTATAGACCTGAACCACTCTACTCAGCCTATGCATAGTGATTTTTCAGCACGAGTTTACCTCCAGCAGAAGTTGGTGCCTGGACATCTCATATCACCTGGGTGTGAAGGGGATGTTCTGAGGCAATTTTGAGTTAGTCTCTGAAGAACTCATGGCCTTCCCTAGTCTGAGAATAATTTTTATTCTAACGTCTTGGCGTGGGCTTAAGAGCAACCCCAGGGAAGTGGAGATTATCCAGCCCCTAGCCCTACTGCTCCCTTGAATGCACTACTTTCTCCAGCGCTTATCACCACCAGCCACAATTAACTGCCCCAGCACCCCCCAACATGCACGCGCTGACATTCTGCGGCATCTCAGTGCCTGGCCCCACATGGGGTCTCTAGTTTCCCTTTGATATTTTCTCTCATGTGCCAGATGCTGCCACTGAGTAATTTGGAATTTGCTGCCAACGATATTCCATTTGCACGGAGGGAAGACAGGCTGCCAGGGCTCTTGCTGGGTGAACGTGACTGGCAGGAAGCAGCCCAGGGTGTGACGGGTGGAGGAAATGAACCGCACAGATAATACAATCATTTAATTTTTTAACTCTTGGAGGCATTTTTTACATCATTGATTGTTATGAATTACAAAAGTTAGATCATTGTTTTTAAAAATAGGGACTTAAACATTTCGTTCCTGTTTGGTTCTTAAGATATCTGGGTAATTAACGTAATATCTCATTTTCTTACCCTTGTGTTTAATGATTTTATTTTTGTGTTTATTCCTTCTAGTGTACATAAATATTTTACAATCTACCCCATAGTAACAACTACTAAAAAAATTGTGACTTTTTGAGAGCAGAGTAGAAAAAGAACTTGACCTCCTTTAAATGGAAACTGGTGGTTAGATTAAAGCACTGTTGGAGGATAGATTTTGGCTTTCTGAAACACACGAAATTAGTATTCATCTTTCTGGTACAAAAATAAAGTAGTCTGAGTACCAGTGTTTTTCCACTTTTATTGAGCAATCATTTTAGTAAATCTTATTTTTTCAGTTAGTCACAAATAGTCATATTTAAGTGATATTTGGATAGTTAGGCATGGGATTGGCATAGCCACACCAATACTTATCACCAAATATACATTAGAGAAAACCTCTGTTTTTAGTAAGAGCTCACCTATTTAGAGTGGATTTAGGAAGGCCAGTGTGAAAGGTATGAATGAATGATCTATTTTAAAATAAAATGTTAAAAGTTTTCAAAATATAAAATAGATAGCCGGGCTTGGTGATTCAGCCTGTAATCCCAGCACTTTGGGAGGCTGAGGTGAGTGGATTGCCTGAGCCTGCGGGTTCGAGACCTGCCTGGGCAACTTGGTGAGACCTCATCTCTACAATAAAATAAAAAATTAGCCGGGCGTGCTAGCGTGCGCCTATAGTTCCAGCTACTTGGAAGGCTGAGGTGGAAGGATTGCCGGAGCCCAGCAGGTCGAGGCTGCGGTGGCCGGGAGCGGCCACTGCACTCCAGTCTGGGCGACAGAGTGAGACTCCAACTCAAAAACAAAACAAAACAAAACAAAACAATATATATATATATATATATATATAAAATATATGTAACTTTTATTACTTTTATGAAGTATTTAATTACTTTAAATGGAACTTGACTACTTTCAGACACAAAATAATTCATTAATGGTTCCTGTCATGGGGAACTCCAGAACTCCAGGGAAACTCTGCTTCCTGAGAATCTATTTTGGTTTTTTTCTTTTTGACAGCAGGCACTATTTAACCTCCCATATGTCCCTTTTTGCAATGACTGCCAGGAAGCTCAGGCAAAAATTTATAGTTTACTAATATCTGTTTAGGCTCTTTACACTGTATCCTCTATCCCTTCACCAGATTTTAAATTTCTTTCTTTTTTTTTTTTTTTGAGTTGGAGTCTTACTCCATCAGCCAGACTGGAGTGCAGTGGCACACTCCCGGCCACCGCAGCCTTGACCTGCTGGGCTCCAGCGATCCTTCCGCCTCAACCTTCCAAGTAGCTAGAACTACAGGCGTGCGCTACCATGCCCGGCTAATTTTTGACTTTATTGTAGAGATGAAGTCTCACCAAATTGCCTAGGTGGGTCTCAAACCCGCGGGCTCAGGCAATCCACTCACCTCAGCCTCCCAAAGTGCTGGGATTACAGGCTGAGTCACCGAGCCTGGCTCTCCTTGTTCTTGTATAAAATTTTTCTGTGTATGTGTTCTTATTGCAAGATGCTGCAAAGCTTTTGTGAACTGATATTGTATATAAAATAAAATGGATACAGTACTCCTCTGACTAAGTATAGCTAGACAAATATGTAAATATACATGGACACAAATAAGAAGCAACCATTAGTGACTTGTTTCCAATTATTTGCTGGAAAGATTAGGTTTTAACTTGAAGTGTTGTCTCTTAGGAGCAGATAAGGCACTGATCCAGAACACAAGGGCTGATTTAACATAAATTATAGCTGTGAAACTTAAGAGTAGACAGTGACTGCTATGTGCAACTTAAATTTTGAACGGAAGTATGTCACATTCCCATGGAAGAAACTAAGAACGCACCCACAGCCTGGCCTTGCCTCTTCCTCCCAAGCCCTGAGCCAGCAGTGAGGTCTTCCCCCAGACCTTCTGCTCCACTTCCCTTCTGCCACTGAGACCACCAGGAACTCTGATGGCAGTCGCTGCCATGTCACAGTACATGGAGAGTCAGGGGCCTCTGGCAGTTCCACAGGGCTCAGAGTCTGATGGCTTGATCAAAACTTGACAACTTGGTGGCAGGTCTTGCGAGCATCATGATGAGTTGTGAGAAGGTTGGACAGACGCACATGCTGGGTGGCTCATGCCTAGAATCTTAGCACTTTGGGAGGCTGAGGCAGGTGGACTGCTTGAGCCCCGGAGTTTGAGACCAGCCTGGACACCATAGTAAGACCTTGTTTCTATAAAAAATGCGCAAATTTAGGCAGACGTCATGGCGTGTCCCTGTAGTCCCAGCTACTCGGGAGGCTGAGACGGGAGGATTGCTGAGCCCAGGAGGTTGAGGCTATGGGTGAGCCATGATTGTGCTACTGCACTCCAGCCTGGGGTGACAAGTGAGAACTTGTCTCAAAAAAATAAGGTCTTGGGGCTCTGGGAGGGTGAATGGCAGCAGAGATTTCTGCTTCCAGGTGTGAGTGAGAGGTCTTGAAGTCAGAGAGCAGCTGGAAAAAAGGGGCAGTGTATGTTTATGACGCCCCACAGAGAGGGTCCCTTTTGCCAAGACCCTATTTGTTCAAGCCCATGTGGGCGGAGTCTCTAATAGGAGTAGTTGACCTCTGTGTCATACATGGCCAAGTTAGCATGCCTTGTCACAGGAGGCATTTCCTTCTCCCTTCCACTGAGGTCATTCTTTGACATTTAGTCATTTAGTGATTGTCCTTTTAGTGTACTTTTCATTCTGGAGTTTTTGGAGCTCATTTTGTCTTTGGTTTCATTTCCTTTAACATACAGGTTTTCTTCTCTCTCTTGGTTTTGGGATTAGTCTTGGTTTCTGGCTTTGTCTACTGAGCATCCCTTTTTGTCGACTTAACACTGTGAATTTCATCTACAAGTTTAGAGAAACCAGCAAGGAAGGAAGAGCCCATACCCTGAATCTCAGGCATATGTTACCCTGATAAGAGGATTAAAAACATCCTTTTAACCACAGAACTCCTCCACTGGAAAGGATTCTGAAAGACATGAAGAAACAGCCCAGAAATGAAGTCTCCAGCCTCTTGGCCTTCTGCTGATTTACTGCTGCAGTTCCTCAGTGTGATTGATATTGGGCATGATGTCCGCGGAAGTCATCCACCAGGTTGAAGAGGCGCTTGACAAAGATGAGAAGGAGATGCTTCTGTTTCTGTGCCGGGACGTCACCGCAGACGTGGTTACACCTAATGTCAGGGACCTTCTGGATGTCTTAAGTGAGAAAGGCAAGCTGTCAGATGATGGCTTGGCTGAGCTGCTCTACCGGGTGAGGCGCTTCGACCTGCTTAAGCGGATCCTGAAGGTGGACAAGACGGCGGTGGAGGCTCACCTGCGCAGGAACCCACCTCTGGTTTCCAACTACAGGTAAGTCAGTGCCTCTTCCCAAGGCTGGGCTAGTGGGAGGGAGGGAGGCTGTCTGAACTCTACTGAATGATAGAAACCAGGATAGTAAGAAGAGCAGCTATGTTACTTTCTCCACCCACTGACCCCATTGCTGGATGGTGTCACTTCATTCCTCTGAATTCTTAAAATGTGCTTGCTGTGCTGGGCACAGTGGCTCCATGCCTGTAATCCCAGCATTCTGGGAGACTGAGACAGGAGGATTGCTTGAGGCCAGGAGTTTGAAACCAGCGTAGGCAACATAGCGAGACTACATCTCTATAAAAAGAAAAAAATAAAATAAAGCATACTTGCTTAAAGGAATTGGGATCATACAAAAGGAAAAGGGACAGATGGTGTGTGTTTGCCTGAAGGATAGAATCATGAGAGATGAGGTAAGATAGGAACCACTGAGAATTAACCATTCTTGCAGACCTTCCACAGCGTGAAGTCTACAGTGGTGTTTACTAGCTGATTTTCTGGGTTTCCAGCCCTTGGCAATTTCCAGTACTGATAAAGCAAATAACAAGCCTGATGGCAATTTCAGCTTTTGTAAAACTCCCTCATCTGAATTCCTGTTGGTCCTTCAGCTGAGGAAGTTTATCTGGGTGGACTCCCTTCCTGTGGTCTCTGCCCTCAGACAGAGCCCTGGGCACTCCACATTGAACCTCTTCAATAAACCACTTCTAAGCTCCTTTCATTTCAGAAAGGGAATGACTTCTATAATCTCCTTTAGTTCTGGCAGCCTTTGAGTCGTTGCCAGGTGCTGTTTTAGAGGATTCAAGGGACTCAAGCCCCTGGAAGGGCTGAGTTTCTGGGGGAAGGAAGAGAACATGTGACCTTAAATGGGTGTTTCCTTTTGCTCCTGACAACCAGTCTTTTGTTATGTTGATCATGTATATTTGGAGATGACATTTGTTATCAAGAATTCTGCTAAAGGGAGCCGAAAGCAGTGTGGGCTTTGGAAAGTATTTGAGACTTGAGGTCGGAAGGCCTGTTTGAACCCTGGCAAAGACTGGGCCAATCACTCACCTGGGCTGGGCCTTCATTTTCCTACCTGTAAAGCAAAGAATTACAGTCCCTGACTTCACAAGGTGGTTGTGAGCATCAATTGTGTTAATTTACTATGAAGTACTTTTGAAAACTGACCAGAACTCTCCAGGTGCAAGGAATTATTGCCATTGTTACTCTTGATCATCTTTCTTCTACCTGTTCAACCATCAGTTATAATGTCAGTAACTAGCCGAGATCAGTGGCTCAGTCTGTAATCCCCGCACTTTGGGAGGCTGAGGTGAGTGGATTGCCTGAGCCCGTGGGTTCGAGACCCATCTGGGCAACTTGGAGAGCTCTCATCTCTACAATAAGTCAAAAATTAGCCGGGCGTGGTAGTGCGCGCCTGTAGTTCCAGCTACTCGGAAGGCTGAGGCGGAAGGATCGCCGGAGCCCAGCAGGTCGAGGCTGCCTTGGCTGGGAGCGGCCACTGCACTCCAGTCTGGGTGACAGAGTGAGACTCCAACTCAAAAAATAAAAATTAAAAAAAAAATAATGTCAGTAACTGTCTTCAAACTTTATTGGCCGGGCGTGGTGGCTCATGCCTGTAATCCCAGCACTTTGGGAGGCCAAGGTGGGAGGATGACTTGAGCCCAGTAGTTCAAGACCAGCCTGGGCAACATAGCAAACCTCATCTCTATTATAAAAAACAAAACAAAACAAAAACTCTGTGGAAGGCACTGACTGGGTTTCAGTGCACAGGGCAGGGCCCTCTCTCCACTTCCCATTTCCTTGCTGTAGTGAGTGGAGATCATTCTCCTGGCACTCTGGGAAGAGGCTGGGATTCACTTATTCACTTAATCATCTGTGTTGAAGGGGATTCACTTATTCACTTAATCATCTGTGGAGTGGACTTCATCATGTATTGGCATGTGCCAAGTGTTCTGGTAAGCTCTAGGGCAAAATGGGTAAAGAATTATCCTCCAGGATCTGAGAGGCTAACTGGGAAAATGACCCTGGTGACAATGCCATGGTAATAATGCTAGCCATGAGTGTCCCAGGAGCCCTGACAAAGTGTGGTATATTTTCTGGAAGAAAATAAAAGAAAAAGTGTAGTAGCTCTAATAGGAGCAGAGTGAGTGTGGAGGGGCTTTCTGAACAGACAACTGAGATCAGGATCCTTGTGATCCAGAAGACTGACTGAGTTCAGAAGCAGGTCAGGATATTCTTCCCTTTTAGCTTCCTGCAAGTGACTCCAAGCACGGATGCTAGATCCGCTTCTCCTAAGAGCTTGTTCAAGAGAAGACAAGGCCACTTTGAATTCTACTTCTGTCTTTTATTTTAGTCATTTGGGTGCTTGAGTCATTTTTCTGTAACTTTTCAGGCAGCTGGGGGATTCTGTAGGGAAGTTTCCATCATATGAGTTGCTTTCAGAAACCGTTAGTTGGTAAGTGAGATGCTGTTGAAAACAAAAGGGTATGCTTCCTTTTTGAGTCCACTGAAGATTGCTTTCTGTTTCATGGGGGAGGGGTACATTCACATGGAGACAGGAATGAGGTTTTTTGGGTTTGTTTTTAGAGACGGGGTCTCACTGTGTTGCCCAGGCTGGTCTTGAATCCTGGGCTCAAGTGAGGAGCCTCCCAAAGCGCTGGGATTACAGGTGTGAGCCACAATGCCCTGCCAGAACTAGGCTTTTAACCAATTATTGGCAGAGGGGAGGCACGGGCTCTTGGAGTTCCCATTAGGACTGATTTTACTTAGGAAACTTGTCTGGTTTACAGGGTGCTGATGGCAGAGATTGGTGAGGACTTGGATAAATCCGATGTTTCCGCATTAATTTTCCTCATGAAGGATTACATGGGCCGAGGCAAGATAGCCAAGGAGAAGGTGAGTTTTCTTTATCTTGGCTCACAGTTCCAAGAGCTGTCAGGAGTTGGGAGCTGTTTCTTGCAGCCTGGAGAGAGGGAAGTGGACTGTCTGCTGCCATGGCAGTAGAGTCATCATTAGTGGTTTATGAACTGCGAAGAAGTGGGATATCATATTTTCTGGGATGGCCTTGGTGTTCCTTACATCCTTGAGTTTTATCTTATTTCTGTAAAATTCCTAGGCCTGGCATATATCAGCTTCTTTCTCGGGTTTGACAGGTCACCTGGGGGGGTGGGGGTTAGAAAGTCGCATCTGCATGTGATGAGTAGAAACAGGTAGGGTGTGCTATCCACTGTCATATTGCTGTCCTGCGGTCACCCGTTTCTCCTCAGCAGGCCCAAGATGGGGGTCATTAGGCTGCATGTGGAGGAGGGGTGGGAGGAGGTTCTTGTGACTGAAGTATCTGGAAAATGTCAAAAGTACAGATTTGGGGTTGAAACCAGGTAGGGGTGAGGCTCTCAGGGATGTGTCATTGCTAGAGAGGGATTAAATTCCAGTTGGCCCTCCAGGGCACTGCTGACCTAAGGGCAGACCAAGAAATGCTTGGGTCTTTGGTGGAATGACAGTAGATCCATGCGTCATTGCTTGAGAATGTCCTCCTGTTCCTTAATGATTATAGTTTTGTTTTTGAAATCTGGGAAGAGGGGGTGACTGTGTCCTCCCACCATCAAATGCAAACTGAGAAGGAAATGAAAAGTAGAACTCCTCTTTTGTTTCCCCTAGTCAACGTTGATTTACATATCAGTCATTTACATATACTTAATTGTGTTTATTATTTTAAAAAATGGACTTCAGTAACCAAATGTTAAATGCAAAGGAAATAAACCCCAAAGCAATGCCTGTTTCTGAAATACAGTGCTTTCACAATCCTGGTGGCCTAAGGTAAATAAGTGACAAAATTCCCAAACCTTATTGTAACTTCGTATCTCTATTACCTCTAAGTCAGAATGAGTTGGAATGTCCAGCAGTGACTCAAATATTTTAGGAACTTCTTTTTTTTTTTTTTTTTTTTAAGAGATGACAAGGTCTGACCATGTTGCCCAGGCTGGTCTCAAACGCCTGGGCTCAGGCAGTCCTCTCGCCTCAGCCTCCCGAAGTGGGACTTATAGGTATGAGCCACTGTGCCTGGATGGAACTTTTAAAAATTGAGTGTGTGTGTGTGTGTGTGTGTGTGTGTGTGTGTGTGTGTGTGTGTGTGTGTGTATTTTTTTTGTTGTTGTTTTTTTGTTTTTTATAGTTGGAGTCTTACTCTGTCGCCCAGACTGGAGTGCAGTGGCCGCTCCCGGTCACCGCAGCCTCGACCTGCTGGGCTCCGGCGATCCTTCCGCCTCAGCCTTCCAAGTAGCCGGAATTACAGGGATGTGCTACCACGCCCAGCTGATTTTTTGATTTATTGTAGAGATGAGGTCTCACCAAGTTGCCCAGGTGGGTCTCGAACCCGTGGGCTCAGACAATCCACTCACCTCAACCTCCCAGGGTGCTGGATTACAGGCTGAGCCACCGATCCCGGCTTAATATGAGGTCTTATATTTTTATTATTATTGTTTATTTTTTAGAGACAGTGTCTTGCTGTGTCACCCAACTGGAGGGCAGTGGTGTGATCATAGTTCACTGCAACCTCGAATTCTTGACCTGAAGCGGTCTTCCCACCTCAGCCTCCCAAATTGCTGGAATGACAGCCATGAGCCACCAAGCCCGGCCTGTTTTAGAAACTTTTAAACTGTATCACTGAGATTTTTCTCGTAAAACCTTCCCCCTGCTACCTTCTCTCTCCCTTTTTCAGGGAAGCCCTTAGAGTTTATTAGTTAGACATCAGCCTGGCCTTTTGGAAAAGAATGAGCCTGGGAGGGTTTTATTATAATGGCTGCTCTTTCACAGTCCCCCTTGATGACAAAACATGGTACACGTGTCTGTCTCCAAGCAAGGAACAGGTTGGTGACTAAAAGACTCACCACCACCTCTGTCAGGAGTCTAATTTCCTCACTACAGATGTCTAGTTTAGAACCAGTAGAAGGTTCATGGAAAGGGTTCATCTTGTCATACTTTCTTGTAAATCTGGAGTTTGCACTTGGGGCTTATTAGTTGGCTCTACTGACACTTTTTTCTTGTTGGTGGCTCTTTTAGAGTTTCTTGGATCTTGTGGTTGAACTGGAGAAACTAAATCTGGTTGCTCCCAATCAATTGGATTTATTAGAAAAATGCCTAAAGAGCATCCACAGAATAGACCTGAAGACAAAAATCCAGAAGTACAAGCAGTCTGGTAAGCATATGGGCTTCTGGGTGGTCTCAAGCAAACACCCTGTGCACAGTAGGCGTGGTTAGTTGGTAATAGGTGGTTTGTTGGCTTTGTGGGTGGAAGGGACCCAGGATAGCCACAGTGCTCTCTGGTTTATGGCTAGAGACCTTTAGATGTTTCCCTTTAGATGTTTCATGCCCCAGATGTGCTAACCCCATCACCCCATATTCATGACCACAGAGCCTCAGTCCTCTGCAAAATGCCACCAAGTAGTCCTTGACATTTCTGCCTTCAAGACAGAGTCTGCACTCTCATTTCTGCACAGGGTGGCAGAGCTGTGGCCATTCAGGGCTTTCGAGTGTTTTCTGCACCATACTACCTTGCTCTATAGAGTATTTGGCCTGCCAGCTACCATCCAGCTCTGGATGATGTCCCCGGAGTTCCATAGCTGCCCTGTGTGTGTCCCAAGTTTCACAAAACCTCCTCATGGGAAGGGCACCTTTTTTGTTTTGGAGTCAGGGTCTCATTCTGTGGCCCAGGCTGTAGTGCAGTGGCCTGTCACGGCTCATCACAGCCTCATCCTCATGGGCTCAGGCAATCCTCCCTCCTCAACCTCCCGGGTAGTTGGGATTATAGGTATGCGCTACTATGCCTCATTAATTTTTAAATTTATTTTAGAGATGAGGTCTCACTATGTTTCCCAGGCTCAAGTCATTCTCCCTCCTTGGCCTCCCAGAGTTCTGAGATTACAGGCATGAGCCACTGTACTCAGCTAGAAAGAAAGGGCACCTTTGATTTCTCCCTTGATAAATGGGATCAGACTCCCATTGGGCTTCCTTGCTTCCATCCTCCATTGTCTTTTAGACTCAGGCTGTGTTGCCAAAAGGCAAGGCCAGACCCACTGACACTCTTTCACCCCCAGATATTCTAAAATGACTGATCAAAGGTCAAAAATAGGAGTAGCATTTGTAGTCCATTCTTAATGACGTTTGGCAGGAGAGTCATCTGATCAAATAGATTGAATTCAGTAGAATGGCTGAAAAGTTTAGGATATTTTGAAAGATGGTGATTGAACCTGGACTGAGCCATTGTTGAAGTCTTATTTTATAATAATTTCTAAATCTTTTTTTTTTTTTGAGTCAGATTCTTACTCTGTCGCCCAGGCTGGAGTGCAGTGGCATGCTCATGGCCACTGCAGTCTCGACCTGCTGGGCTCAAGTGATCCTTCTGCCTCCAGCCTTCCAAGTAGTTGGAACCACAGGCACGTGCCAACATGCCCGGCTAATTTTTTTTGATTTATTGTAGAGATGAGGTCTTGCCAAGTTGCCCAGGCTGGTCTTGAACCCCTGGGCTTAAGGCAGTCCTCTCACCTCAGGCTCCCAAAGTGCTGGGATTACAGATGTGAGGCTGGTAATAATTTCAAAATCTTAACTCTACCTCTCTTCTGCTTTTATAGCTCAAGAAGCAGAGACAAATTATATGAATGTTCTCCACGCGTCTCTCCCAAACACGAATCTCAAGGATCCTTCTTATAACTTCAGGGTGAGTCTGGAGCAAATGCAGGGAATTCCAGCATGAAACATGTTCAGAGCAGCAATATAGACAACAAGATATATACATGTTCTTACAAAACAGATACATGTTCTCATTACATATACTTTATTGAATATCTGGAAATATTGTGGTAACCATGTGTATTTGTCCTTAAAATATGTGTAACTTCTTTTATACCTATATTGCACTGCCCAAAGGCAGTTATGAATATGATGGTGTATTTCCTTCTGGGCTCTTTTCTATGGATTTTGCAAATGTGTCTGTGTATCCCATTGGCCATTTTTTTTCATTGTTTATTTGTTCCTTTGAATATGTAACTTTTAAAATAAAAATAGACAATGCCACACCTATAAACAATTACTAAAAGAGGTTTTAAAAATATGGGGTTTTTTCCTACCCCTATAATATTGATCTAATTCTTTTCCTAAGAGGTAAGGACTCTGATTAATCCCTTCTGTAACTAACCAGAGACAGTCTGTGCACATGTAATTTTTTTGGATTTTCTTTCCCCCTTGTACAAATGATAGAACCCTATGCCCATTGCCCTGATCTGAAAATTCCTAGAAGTTGTTCCTTATGATTAATATGGGACTGCCTCTGTTTAATCATTATCCTGAATGATGACACACGGTTCCATTGTCCAGATGTATCATAAGGTGTTTAGTCCTCTTTTGTTTATGTACGTTTAGATTGTTTTCAACCTTATGTTACTGCAAATAATGCTCTAAAATAAATACTTTATTCTTGCTTCTCTGTGCCTTGATTTTTTTTCTGGACTAATTTTAATGATTTAATGATTTTTTTTAATAACAAAAAAACCACTTTTTTTGTTATTGAGTGATGAAATGAACGATTTTGGGGGTATTCATGAACATAAGTGTCACATTGACACTTAGGGTTGTCGTGTTAGTAGTTGGTAGAAAATGGTATCAGTAGAGTTGTTCTTTGGTTAATGTTTTATCTTGAAAAGTTCAATTTTGGTGTAATCGTATCCTCATCGTCATACAAACGTATGTGGAGTTTGTAGTGAGGACTTAGACCAGAGTGCAATTTAATGGTTAAATTATAAATACTTTCACAAAAGTGTATAAATAAAACATTAACTACTCCTGTAAGATAAGTCATTTCATGGAGAAGTAAGCTGTGAGAGACACCCCTGAGCAGCAGAATTTCAGAACTCAAATGGATGTTAAGGATTATATTGTCCAACACCTGCATTGAACAAAAGTGAGACTTAGGCCTAAAGAATGTTAAGTGATTTGTCTATCTCTAACTGTTGGCAGGGGTGGGCACAGTCCATACATCTTCCACTGCTCATGCCATAGCTTAGATATGTGTCTTTTTTTCTGAGTCAAAGTCTCACTCTCTCACTCAGGCTGGAGTCCAGTGGCATGATGATGGCTCAGCACAGCCTCAGCCTTCTGGGCTCAGGTGATCCTCCCACCTCGGCTTCTTGAGTAGCTGGGACTTTAGGCAAGCATGACCACGCCTGGCTAATTTTATTTTTATTTTTTGTAGAGACAAGGTCTCGCTATATTGCCTGGGCTGAACTCGAGCTCAAGTGATCCTGCCTCCTAGGCCTCGTAAAATGCTGGAATTACAGGCATGGGCCACCGTGCCCAGCCAGTCTTACATGTTTTAAAGAATTGAATGTGCTGTCCATTGTCCTTCTGAGTCTCCATGATACCAAATCATGAGACAAAACGCATGTAGGATTCAGATCCAGATTTTCTGAGCTTTCTCTGCTATTGTCTAATATGTTGTCATTCTTAGTTAAAAACCTGCCATATTTTTACTCTTGTGCTTCTGTTTTTGTTTTTTTGTGTTTTGTTTTTTTTTCTTTTGAGTTGGAGTCTCACTCTGTCGCCCAGACTGGAGTGCAGTGGCACGCTCCTGGCCACCGCAGCCCTCGACCTGCTGGGCTCCGGCGATCCTTCGGCCTCAGCCTTCCAAGTAGCCGGAAGGAACTACAGGCATGTGCCATCACGTCCAGCTAATTTTTGTTGATTTATTGTAGAGGTGAGGTCTCACCAAGTTGCTCAGGCTGGTATTGAACCCCGGGGCTCAGGCAATCCTCTCACCTCAGCCTCCCAAAGTGCTGGGATTAAGGCATGAGCCACCACATCTGGCCTGCTTCTGTTTTTTATATGAAGGTGAGTATATTCATTGCTATGTGGCCTCTCATGAAGCCATATGCTTTGCATATCAATTTTTCCTTAAATTTGCTATATTTAATATATGACCATGATCATTCATTCAGTCATTTAGTAAGCAGACACTATGACATATGAATCTCGTGACTTTCTCACAATATGTAAGGACTGAATACCTAGATGTTAACTCATGCAAAGCTGCAGAAGTGCTTCAAAAATGACAGGGCATTAAGTGACACAGGACACCAAGATATTATAAAATAAAAAAAGTTATATTACTCTGTGGTATAATGCCTTAAAAAGCCATTAGAAGACTGAGGAGGAAGAATCACCTGAGCCCAGCAATTAAGGCTGCAGTAGCCAAGAGCGTGCCACTGCACTCCAGCCTGGGTGACAGAGTGAGACTCCGGCTCAAAAAAAAAAATCCAGCTTTCTGAACTAATTTATTTTATTTGATTATAGAGATGTGGGGTACATGTTAGGATTAGTTACATAAGTAGGCTGCATGCAGTATATCCAGCTTTGATTAGATGTTCTCTCTAATACTATGTACAAGTGAATATATATCCGTGTGATATGATCAGCCTTGGGCTAAGGCACTGATTATTAGTGAAAAAAGCAACTTCCATGTTTTTCTTTAATTTAGACACATAGACTTGGCTACAGACACAGTTTAATTGACAGTGTATTTCTCTCTTTTGGCTAGGATAGCTTCAGAGGAAATCTGTCATTTGAAAGCTGAGCATATCAGATGGTTGACAGTATGTGGTATGTGTACTTTACATAGGACCTGTCATCCGAGAAGAGACAGGGTCAGTTAAATCTTTCATTCTCTGATTGATCTCGCTGTAGCCCTGAAAAGTGTTTTATCAAGAATTCTTGGCTGTTTGTGGCGGCTCATGCCTGCAATTCTAGCACTTTGGGAGGCCAAGACAAGAGGATTGCTTGAGCCCAGGAGTTTGAGACCAGCCTAGGCAACATAACGAGACCTAGTCTCAAAAAAAAAAAAAAATTATCTGGGCGTAGTGGTGTATACTTGTAGTCCCAGCTACTTGGGAAACTGAAGTGGAAGGATTGCCTGAGTCCAGGAAGTCAAGTTTGCTTGAGCCGTAGTCATGCCACTGGGCAAGAGAGTGAGACTTTGACTCAAAAACCACAACACAACGAAATAACAAAAAAGAATTCTTGATGATCAAGAATCAGGACCACATGTGGCTTATGTGAGGCCAGTTATAGAATAGTAGTCACTGGACATTTATTATGGACTTCCGTGTACTTTGCACTGTGCTGAGTGATTTGTGTACATTTAGTCTCCATAAAAATTCTACAAGGTAGGTACTATTATCCTCATTTTGCATATGAAGAAACAGACACACAGAGGTTAAACAACAGGCTCAAGGTTATATGGCTAGTAAGAGGCAGAATGAGGACTTACACTCAGGTGTATCCATCCTGGACTGCCCTGTTTTACCCATCTGGACCTTGTCCCTATGCTAAAGGTTGAATGTCAGCCTCATGTTTTGATGGCTTATTCTAACTTGGAGCTATTATAGCAATTGTACTACACTATAACATCTGGTTTTTGGGGGTTTTTTTTTGAGTTGGAGTCACACTCTGTCACCCAGACTGGAGTGCAGTGGCCACTCCCGGTCACCGCAGCCTTGACCAGCTGGGCTCCGGCGATCCTTCTGCCTCAGCCTTCCGAGTAGCTGGAACTACAGGCGTGTGCTACCACGCCCGGCTAATTTTTGATTTATTGTAGAGATGCGGTCTTGCCAAGTTGCCCAGGTGAGTCTTGAACTTGCGGGCTCAGGCAATCCACTCACCTCAGCCTCCCAAAGGTGCAGGATTACAGGCTGAGCCACTGAGCCCGGCTTAACATCTGGTTTTATTGAATTGTTTTGTAACATTCTAATATGCTAGTTTAGCATATTTACAATGTCCTTATATTTACCACTATTTATTTATTTATTTTTGAGTCGGAGTCTCACTCTGTCGTCCAGACTGGAGGGCAGTGGCATGTTTATGGCCACTGCAACCTTGACCTGCTGGGGTCAGGTGATTCTTCTGCCTCAGTCTTCCAAATAGCTGAAACTAGAGGCATGCGCCACCACGTCCAACTAATTTTTTGATTTATTGTAGAGATGAGTCTGTCTCCAAGTTGCCCAGGCTGGTCTCGAACCTGTAGGCTCAGGCAATCCTCTCACCTCAGCCTCCCAAAGTGCTGGGAATATAGGCGTGAGCTGCCACACCCAGCCTATTTATCACTTTTTAAAAGAAGAGTTGCCTTATTCTTTGACAATAAAATATGAGATTTATGGAGTTGACAACTCTTGCTATTCTTCCTTAGATAATTTTCTTATTTTCTGAGTTGGATTCTTATTCCATTGTCCAGGCTCGCCTCGGCCTCCCAAAGTGCTGGGATTACAGGCTTCAGCCATCACACCCAGCCTCTTCCTTAGATAATTTAACTGTGGGGGTGATACTTTTATTTTTTCCTGGGTAAGAATCCTATTGGATATTTAAAGATGTGCAATATGTAGTGTGCCTCTGAAAAAAACTAACACCAAGTGTGACCTTATTCTTTATATTTAAAGCTCCAGAATGGAAGAAGAAAAGAACAAAGACTTGTGGAACAACTTGGCCTTCAAAGTAAGCCTAACTTTTCTTTGTATGCATTCTTTATAAATGCTTGCTCATTCAAGTACAAAATGTTGCATTTTTAGAGTTGGCCATTTTATTTATCTACATAATTTAAGTATTCTATCAACATAAAAAGCACCTAAACTCCTACAATGTATTCATTGGCATTTCTGGTTATCCATTGAATTAGCTTTTTTAAGCTCAAACACCGTCTTATCCCATCAGCTTCATCATCTTGGCTATGTTTTTAAGAAGTGTGAGTGCCATTTATGCCTGAAGTGCAGTAAAACAAGGCCATGTAAAACATTAATCCACCTGGGCTTTTGTCATTGGTGGTTTTATAAAAAAGAAAAAAAACATCAATCCAACCATGATAACGAACCGTGTTAAACTAAACATCCAGTAGCAGGAAGAAGAAAGGTAAACAGATTCTTATGGTTCCAGATTCATTAAATAGAATCTATTTAATCTGCTAAAGAATCTGGATACTCAACAGATGATAGCCCTCCAAAAAAAGAAAGAGAAAATACAGTGAAAAAACTGGTTATCTGGACCCACATGATCTTGTCTTCTCTCTCTTTCTCTTTTTTTTTTTTTTTTTTTTTGAGTTGGAGTGTCACTCTGTAGCCCAGACTGGAGTACAGTAGCCGCTCCCCGGCCATTGCAACCTTTACCTACTGGACTCTGGCGATCCTTCTGCCTCAGCCTTCCAAGTAGCTGGAACTACAGGCGTTCGCTACCACATCCGGCTAATTTTTTGATTTATTGTAGAGATGAGGTCTCACCAAGTTGCCCAGGCGGATCTCGAATCCACGGGCTCAGGCAATCCACTCACCACAGCCTTCCAAAGCATGGGATTACAGGCTGAGCCACCAATCCCGGCTGTGCCTCAGCCTTTCAAGTAGCTGGAACTACAGGTGTGTGCCAACACACCTGGCTAATTTTTTAATTTCTTTTGGATTGGAGTCTTACTCTGTCGCCCCAGCGTCAACCTGATGGGTTCTGGCAATCCTTCCACCTCAGCCTTCTAAGTAGCTGGAACTAGGTGCACGCTACCATGCCTGGTTAATTTTTTATTTTATTGTAGACAAAGTCTCATCAAGTTGCCCAGGCTGATCTCAAACCCCTGGGCTCAGACAATCCTCTCACCTCAGCCTCCCAAAGTGCTGGGATTACAGACTTGAGTCACCGTGCCCAACCTGTCTTCTCTCTTAAAACAGTAGCACTTGATCCCATAACATCATTGTTTTTATTTAATTTTTTTCCCTTGAGTCAGAGTCTCACTCTATCACCCAGGCTGGAGTACAGTAGCATGATCATGGCTCACCACAGCCTTGACCTCTTGGGCTCAGGTGATCCTTCTGCCTCAGCCTTCTGAGTAGCTGGGCCTACAGGTGCGAGCCACCATGCCTGCCTAATTTTTTGATTTTTTTGGAGAGATGGGAGTTTCACTATGTTGCCCAGGCTGGTCTCTAACTCCTGGGCTCAAATGATTCTCTCGCCTCAGCTTCCCAAAGTGCTGGGCTTACCTCTGGCCCCTATAACATCATTTTTAAAAAGTTTGTTTCTTTTGCTTGTCTCAAGTCCTCCTCAAAGGGAGGACAGAGACCCAGTCTCACCCTGATGAAGCATATGGTTGTGCTTCTGAACTCCAGGAAGCTGGGATGAATGGGCTGCTATGGTGGCTTCAGTCTTATCCAAGGGCTTGGAGTCTATCCTGTGTGTAGTGGGGGACCATGACTGTCTTGGGTAGGGTAGAGGCCTGATAGAAGGCTTCTTTGTATGGCAAGACCCTTGCCAATATCTTATGACTCAGCCTACAGGCTGTCCATGTGTACCCGGAAGCTCATTTTGCCCAGGTTGGCCAGATGGCATGGCTCACACCTGCTGCTCATTTAGTAAGCAGGCACAACGGCATATGAATTTGGTGACTTTCTCACATGAATTAGGAGTGGAATACCTTCTTGAATGTTAACTCATGCAAGAAGTGCTTCAAAAATGACAGTGGCAATAAATGACACAGGGTGCCAAGATATTATAGAATAAGAAAGTGGTGTGACTCTGCAGTAATAGTCTGCTCTCCAGCAAAAGCTACTGAGAAGGGAATTCATTCTTGAAGTGATGGCCTATTTATTTAAATGCTAGTGAGGTGGTGAGAACTAGAATTCTCAAGGTTGTTTAAAGGGAAAATAGGGGAGCTGATAGATTTGCATAGGGATTTAGAACAAATGTCGTCCTTTCTTTGTGCTCCCTGACATCAGTTGTGTCCTTGGTCATAATTGTGTGGGTGGGTACTTGAGGCTTCCAGCACCCCTGGTGTCCTGTCGGGACAGCTCCTTGCCTGCTTTTGCCTGGATGTGCTTTATTTATTAATAAAAGAAAAAGCTTTCTGATAACTTGTGCTTAATCTAATAGGAGTTTAAAATATGAGTTAAAATAGGAGTTTAAGTTATAAATTTGGACTTCTGGCTGGGTGTGGTGGTTCATGCGTGTAATCCCAGCACTTTGGGAAGCTAGGGCAAAAGGACTGCTTGAGCCCAGGAGTTCAAGACCAGCATGGGCAACATAGCGAGAACTGGTCTCTACAAAATATCAAAAAATTAGCCAGGTGTGGTGGCAGGTGCCTGTAGTCCCATCTACTTGGGAGGCTATGGATGAAGGATCACCTGAGCCCAGGCGGTTGAGGCTACATTAAGCCATGATCGTGCCACTATGCTCCAGGCTGGACCATAGAGTAAGACCTTGACTCAAAAAAAAAAAAAAAGTAATTTGAACTTTCAAGTACATTTTAACTATTCAACTATCATTGAATTTGATGAGGATGATGATGATATTAATATGTTAAGCTCTTGCTAAATGCTTTAAACTAAGATAGGTATATGGCAGATTATTTTGTGGTATTTTTGTCTGTTCAGTTAATACAGGATTGCTAAAATACAAAAAGATGAAGTGAAATTTTCTCTTTCTTCTGAATATCAGAGACAGCCACTGTTAATGTTTGATTTATATACCTCTAGATTCTTTTGCATGTATATACATGTGTACATATATGCACACAAATACATATTTTAAGTACATGGAATCAATATTATACATACTATTTAATAATCATTCTAAAACTTAATATAACCTGTGGTTCCAGCTACTTGGAAGGCTGAGGCGGAAGGATCTCCTGAGCCCAGCAGGTCAAGGCTGTGGTAGTCATGAGCATGCCACTGCACTCCAGCTTGGGCGATAGAGTGAGACTCCTACTCAAAAAAAGAAAAAAGAAAAAAACAAACTGCATAGAATTCTGTCACATATACCATAATATAGTTAACCAGTTTTATGTCAGTAGACTTTTTTTTTTTTTTGGTTGGAGTCTCACTCTGTTGCTCAGACTGGAGTGCAGTGGCCACTCCCGGCCACCGCAGCCTCGACCTGCTGGGCTCCGGCCATCCTTCCGCCTCAGCCTTCCAAGTAGCCGGAACTACAGGCGTGCGCTACCACGCCCGGCTAATTTTTTGATTTATTGTAGAGATGAGGTCTCGCCAAGTTGGTCAGGCGGGTCTCGAACCCACAAGCTCAGGCAATCCACTCACCTCGGCCTTCCAAAGCGCTGGGATTATAGGCTGAGCCACCGAGCCCCGCCTGTCAGTAGACTTTTAGGTCCTTTCCAGATAGGGGCCATTATGGACAATAATTCAGTAGATATCGTTTCCTTTCTTTCTTTTTCTTTTTTCTTTTTTTTTGAGCTGGGAGGTCTCACTCTGCTGCAGGCAGGAGTGCAGTGGGAGGATCATGGCTCACCACAGCCTTGACCGCCTGGGCTCAGGTAATCCTTCCACCTCAACCTCCCTAGTAGCTGGAGCTACAGGAACGTGTCATGACGCCTGGCTATTTTTTAAATGTTTTGTAGAGGTGAGGTCTTACTACGTTGCCTAGGCTGGTCTTGAACTCCTGGGCTCAAGCGATCCTCCCACCTCAACCTCCCAAAATGCTGGGATTATAGGCAAAAGCCACTGCCCATGGCCATTTAAATATCTTTGACATACATTTTTGCACTCATGCTCCATCATTTCCTTAGGATAAATTTCTAGCAGCAGAATGTTGGCTTAAAAGATATTTCCAGTTGTCTTTCAAAAAGCCTGTTTCAACTTATACATCAGCATTTGAAAGTGCTTGTTTCCCCCAAAACCTTACCAATGCTTGCATTTTCTTTATCTGTCTTTAGACATCATTTCTCATTTTGCAATAATCTTGTAAGGCAGATATTAGTATACAGTAATCCTGACTTAGCCAAGATTTTATTCTCTGTGGTTTCAGTTGTCCATGGTCCATCGCTGTCAGAAAATACAGTACAATATGCAGTACAGTGAGATGTTGATTGTTTAGAAATGAAGGAGAAAAAAAAATATATTGAGAGAGACCATATTTGCATAAACTTTATCACAGCATATTATCATAATTGTTCAATTTTTTAATTAACTGCTGTTAATCTCTTACTGTGTCAAATTTATAAATTAAATTTCATCATTGGTGTGCCTATATAGGGAAAAACTATATATAAGGTTTGGTTCTATTCAGTTTCAGGCATCCCCTGAAGGTCTTGGAACACATCCCCATGAATAGGGGGAACTACTTATGGTATAAGGGGGGGATCCTAGAAAAACTGGAACTTGTTTATTAAAAATTGTTTATTTATTCTTACATGTTTAAACTTCAGTCACCTTCAAAGTTCTCTCTATTTGATGCAATGTACCTGTCAAGACACTTTTCCCACTGCTCAAAATAGTTTTTGAATTCATCAATTTGGATGCCTTTTAGTGCTTCTGTTGTTTTTTGTTTCACCTCTTCAACATGGGCAAATTGTTTCCCTTTGAGAATTTTTTTCATCTGGGGAAACTAAAACAAGTTGCTTGGGGCGAGATTGGATGAATAGGGAGGGTGGGGCATGGGAGTCATGCTGTTTTGGGTAAAAAACTGCTGAACACTCAACACTATGTGGACAGGCTGTTGGTATAAATCACCCATCATGAAATGGACAAATGTGTTGAAAGAATCTCCAAAAAAAAATTCACTGAAACTGAATGCAGTCTCTCATAACAACCCTAGTTTGGTACACTGATGCCAATGGGTTCCTAGAATATTTACCTAGTGGAGAAAGACTGTACTGCTAGGGGCCCACCCTCCAAAGGATAGTTCTGGGTTTTTTTTTTTTTTTTTTGGTCCCTCCTTGTTTAGAGATTAGTAAGCCCTGAGACTCAGGGAGGTAATTCACCTAAGATCACAGAGCTTGTCAGTGATTGTGCTGGGGTTTGAGCCAGCCCCTTATTGGCTTCAAAGCTGGTGGTTCTTCCATTTCCCTGGGCTAATCGAGTCATTTTTATCAGCAAAGTTTGCTCTAGGCTCATCGACATTTGCCAGGCTCACTGCTCTTATCTTGTCATTGACATTTTGTTGTATGATCTCTCAGTAAGTATCACGGGGCTATGGAAACAAGGCCATCTGTTCTATAATCAGAGAACACAGTAAGCTTTTCCTGCTCTGCAGTCTCTGAGGTGTTTCCCTTTAGGTGTTGACAACAGTTTCAGTACATACAGGAAAGCTATCAATATTGTTGGGTGGTAAGACTATTAGATTCTCTGTATATGGTTAGAAACTCACAGCCACCTGCTCCGCACCTGGAGAGAGGGAGGGGAGGCTTCTTTTAAGTGCTGTTTAAGCAGCTTTTCTGCCTAGCACCTGTATAGCACAAGGACTTGTGTTTTCTTCTCTGTGAGTTCTTTCTTCTTTTTTTTTTTTGTTGGAGTCTTATTCTCGCCCAGGCTGGAGTACAGTGGCACAATCATGGCTCACTGCAACCTCAACTTCCTGGGCTCAGGCGATCCTCCCACCTCAGGCTCCTGAGTAGCTGGGAGTATAGGTGTATGCCACCATGCCCGGCTAATTATTTTTTTGCAGAGACGAGGGCTCGCTATGTTGCCCAGGCCTAGTCTCACACTTCTGGGCTCAAGCGATCCTCCCGCCTTGGCCTCCCAAAATGCTGGGATTACAGGCATGAACCACTGCGCGCAGCCTCAGTCAGGTTTTTCAGTGTGAAGGTGGAACCTTGGGGTTGAATCTAGCTGGGGAAAGTTGAGATTGTTGAAGAAAACAGAGGGAGAAACAGTTGTGGCATAAAGAAACTCTACCAATGAGGGGTGGACTTAGTTCTCTTCAGCTTGGTTAATCGTTTCTCTCTCTCCTTCCCCAGGAGAACCAGCGAAGACATCCATTCAGGAATCAGGAGCTTTTTTGCCTCAGGTACAGAATAAATGATCTGATTTGGTATTGAATCGAATGCACAGTATTGTGGGAAATACTGACATCTTTAGCAATATGTGTCCATTAAGAATTCTTTGTGACAGCGGGATACTGAGCATGTTGTACCCTGCTAAGTTGTTTGGGGGGAATCTCAAATAGTGGCAAAGAGAAAGATGTTGTTGTGAGTTGCACTGGTGAACTTTGGACACGGGGAAGCCCTGAAGTGGCTTTCTCATCTCAGCTGAGTGACTTCTGAATATGGAAGTAGGCAGGGGCACTTCACTGAAACTTGACTCGTTCTGGTTTCTTCTAAGGTTGATACCTCTCCTTTGTAAGAAGCAACCATAGAAAGTGCCCCTTTGTACTGGCTTGGGAAAATATCACCTGTATCAGTCTGGTTACCGTGGAAACATATGACCCATCTTTTCCCTCCATTTCAGATTATCTTTATTCCACAAAGCTAAGACACGTGTAAAGAGATGGCAATTTTCATTAAAATTAATAGAATCTGAAAGAACTTATTTGTCTGAAGCACATCACCCTGATAGGGAAAAATTTGATATTCATGGGAAATGTCAGCTGTGATGGGAAACTTCAGGCTGTGTCTGTTGAGTGAGTCACCTGCCAAAGGGATATTTGCAGAAACCCAGGGGAAGAGATGGCAGATCGGAGGGAGCTCATGGAAACAGGATCCAATGTCTTTAACAATTCCTGCCTTCCCTTCCAGCATGTGCCTGAAGAGAGATACAGAATGCAGAGCAAGCCCCTAGGAATCTGCCTGATAATTGATTGTGTTGGCAATGACACAGGTAGGTGAAGCTGGAACCTTGGGGTTGAATGGACGCGGCCAGAACCAACCACTGCATGAATCCGTAGTTCAACCCAAAGGAGGCTTGTTCCTCACTCATGTCACGGCATGGATTGGATGGGGAGTTCTTTTCCGTGGGGTTATTCAGTGGTTCCACCAGTGTCTGAGGTCTTGAGTTTTCTGTGGTGTCTTCTGCACTTGGTTAGCAGATAAGGGAAGAGAGTGCAAGAAGGAGCTTATAAGAGATTTTAGGGACCAGCCTTGCAGTTGACATGTATCATTTCGACCCCATTTCATCAGTCAGAACCCAATCAAGTTACCCCACCTAACTGTAATGGACACGGAGAAACTAGTCTAGCTGTGTGTCAGGAGGAAAGGAACACACAGCACGGTCTCTGGTACAGTGGCATCTTTTGTGAAAGGTGGCGAGCTTTAGTCTTGCCTTTCCATCTTGAATGCTGTGGTAGGGAGGAGTCCAGGGACCCAGAGGGACATTTATAATACTGAAAGGCATTCTGGCTTCACTTTATCAGACGTCCCAGCATTTCACCCAAGTAGACTACAGAAGCTTTCCTGGGGAAATGTGCGTTTACTTGGAGGGCTTTGGTAGTGTCTGTGTGGTGCGTCATGTAGTTCTGCTGTCCTTTGGTTGCCGGCCTCAGTCTGTTCTACCCATGCGTCACCATCGTTGGGATCTGAACAGCTTGTTTTGCTCCGTGGTCGTTGGATGTCTGACTCAACCTGAATCATTGGTGACACATCAAAGAAGAACCTCGAATGTGGAACAACGTTCTATATAATTATTTATCTTTTCCTTGACAGGATCCACCATCATATTTCTAGTTTTGCAGCTTCTCCACACAGAGATGAGTCAGAACTATTTTTTGGACTCACTTAAAATGTTACCATGGAGAGTTTCATGGGAAGGGAGACAAAGAGAAGTTCAAGTTAGCAAACAGGAGACTGAATTTCTGGGAGTCCAGATATGACCCTGTTTTTTCTCATGCCCCGTTCTTGGTTTCATGTGAGAAATGCCGTCTCCTTGGCTAGGATTAATGTCCTTTCCTTTTTAACTGTTAGTACCCATAGAAGAATGAGAAAATATTTTCTTAATGAGTCACTTCCTGTTTTAAAAGAGATTGCATAATTGTCCTCTGTCTGCTTTTGGTTATAGTCCATTTTGCTTCGTTCATCAGCATATGTTGTATGTGTATCTGTTGTGTTAAGAGAATCATAAAAATAGTCTTAACACAACAGAATTCTATGAATCAAAAAACAAGTTTTCTCATGGCTGAAAACCCAGTGTCTATGCTTGCTTCCCTTCCTGAGCTGTGGGCTCTTTGTAGGCAGGGAATGAATGTATACTTGGTTATTATTACGATTATTATTTTGAGTAAGAGCCTTTATCACCTAGGGTGGAGTGCAGTGGCACGCTCACAGCCACCACAGCCTCGACCTGCTAGATTTAGGTGATCCTTCCGCCTCAGCCGAGTCACTGGGACTGCAGGCGTGTACTAGGCACAGCTAAGTTTTTGACATTTTGTAGGGACAAGGTCTCACCGTGTTGCCCAGGCTGGTTTTGAACTCTGGGACTCAAACAGTCCCCTCACCTTGGTCTCCCAAAGTGCTGGGATTATAGGCATGACCCACCGCACCTAGCCTGTACTTATATTTTTCTGCATTCTAGGATCATGGTCGGAGTTGAGCCCTACTTTATGGCTGCATGTTTTGTTTTTGTTTGGTAGTGGCAGGGTCTCACTATGTTGCCCAGGCTGCTCTTGAACTTCTGGGCTCAAGTGATGCTACTGCCTCAGCCTCCCAAAATGCTGGGATTACAGGTGTGAGCCACCAAGCCCAACCTCTGTGTGGATTTGAATCATGGCTCTGCCATGTTTAGCTTGTGACCATGGACAACATTCCTCGCCTCTTTAAGGCTCAGTTTCTCTTGAGTGGGTTAATGGCCGGGTGTGGTGGCACACACCTATAATCTCAGCACTTTGGGAGGCCGAGGTGAGAGGATTGGCTGAGTCCATGAGTTCGAGACCAGCCTGGGCAACTTGGCAAGACCTCGTCTCTACAATAAATCAAGAAAAATTAGCTGGCTGTGGTGGCACATGACTGTAGCTCCAGTTACTTGGAAGGCTGAGATGGAAGGATCACCTGAGCCCAGCAGGTAGAGGCTGTGGTGGCAGTGAGCATGCCACTGCACTCTAGACTGGGCGACAGTGAGGCTCTGACTCAAAAAATAAATAAAGCGGGTTAATAATAGGACCTACCTCATAGGGTGGTTGGGTGGTGTGGCTAAGTCCATACTTGGAAAGGGCTTAGAACAGGACCTGGCGCTGTGCATGTGTGCACCAAATGCCAGTGAACACAATTTCCTCATTTTATTTGCTTAGTATTAGCTGAAAACTACTCAGCAATAACTTGCCATGGTTTTGTGCTTGGTACATGGAGTATGATCTCAGTTGAGTGAATGACCAGGAACTGAGGCCTGGTTGGGCCCAGGGATGGGTGGGGCACAACCCCACAGGCGGAGGCACACTGGAATGGGGCAATACCCTGAGTCAGCTTCTTGGGGTAAATACCCAGGCAGAAGGCAAGGCAGACCACTCCTACCAGTCATCAGTCTAAATGAGTTTGGCAGAGAAGGAGAATTTTGGTACAAAGGCTGAGGATGGGGAGATGGGGAGGTGGAGACAGGAGGGCAGAGACCTGAGAAGAGAGAAGGAGGGAAGTGGGGGCTGCAATGGAGGTGGAGCCTGGGGCATTGTGCCTTTGGCCTGGACTGCGAGTTCAGCATCTGGAAAGCGGGTGCTAGACAAGAGTATCCCTGAGCACTGAGAGGTACCCTGGGGTACTCAGTGCTGCCTTTCCCTGAGAGTCAGTGGTCTTCCACTCAAGCTCTCCCTGACTCTGGGAAAAACCAATAACTAGGGCAAGGTGCGGTGGCTCAGGCTTGTTATCTCAGCACTTTGGGAGGCCAAGGCAGGAGGTTTACTTGAGGCCAGGAGTTTTAGACTAGTCTAGGCAACATAGCAAAACCTTGTCTCTACAAAAAATTAAAAAATTAGCCAGGCATGGTGGCACATGCCTGTAGTCCCAACTATTCGGGAGGCTGAGGTGGAAGGATCACCTGAGCCCAGGAGTTCCAGACTACTGTGAGCCATCATAGTGCCACTGCACTGCCACCTGGTGATAGAGAAGCCTGACTCAAAAAAAAAAAAAACCCCAAAACAAAAACCCGTAACTGGTCTTGAGGCCACTTACAACCACCCCGACCCCAAACTCTCCAGACCTCTGGCCCTCTGTGTCCCCTCCTGGTAATTCCCCACGGAGGACGCCAGGCCTGAAATCCGCTCTGGTTGACAGTGGTTCTTGTTGGGTACAGCACTTTTCATTTCCTCTTTTCCATCTAACTGGCAGTGGGGGGCTTCATCTGGGGCAATTATGGGGGGCTTCCTCAGTTGGTTACCTTGGCTGTCTGGTTAATGTTGAGTATTTGGGAAAAGTGCAGGAGTCAGGTAATAGACAAGCAGGCAAGAGAGCTTCCAGCTGAAATAAGATTTTGAAAGAAATAGACAAGAGCGTGACGGGACCAGTGTGGTCATGGTGGTGATCAGAGTTTCTAATTCACTAAAGACAGACTAAGTGCCAGGGACTTTGCGAATTGGTTTACATGGATTCTCGCTGAATCCCCATAGATAATACGTAAGACAGGTGCTATTCCCTCCAACTCCAAGGTGGGTAGGCTGAGTGGTGAGCCACTTTCTGCCCTTTGGGACTAAGGAGGCTGAGATTTGAACATGGGACTCCAAAGCCTATGCTTTCAGCTACTGCTTCTGGATTTTTTTTTTTTTACTGTTCCTACCAGCAGCAGTAAAAAGCATCAAAATGGACAAGTTCCCAAACTGTTTTGATCAGTGGAAAAAGCATCACAGTGTATTGCATCAAACAGAAAGTTCTTTGAAGGTGACTTAAGTTTAAACATGTAAGAATACACAATTTTTTATAAATAAATTATGGGACTTTTTTTGGGTTCCCTCTTGTAAATCCCACCAAGATGAGGTGTTTACCCATCTCTTTTTGTGTCTCCAGTACCTGGAACAGTGCCTGGTACACAGGTGCTTGGTAAATATTTGTTGGGTGAATGAATGAAGGAATAATAAACTCTCCTAGGGTCAGTGTGTTTCTGAAACTGTTCCTTTTTATCTTTAGAGTTTAGTGGACTCTCTTCTCCTCTCCTCTGTCCTCAAAAAACCAGACATTTATCCAAGGAGTAGTGAGTCTCCCAAATAATTATAGTTTCATTTCTTCCTTTGCCCAATAAATGTTTATTATGCAACTACCATGTGCAAAGCACCATGGTTGGCTCAGTGTGAAAAAAATATTAGGACAGTGAGGTAGAACCTGGTCTCAGAGCCATGTGGTTAATGACGATAAGGTTATCCTTTGGTGGCTTCTTTTTTTTTTTTGAGTCAAGAGTCTCACTCTGTCACCCTGGCTGGATGGAGTACAGTGGCATGCTTACGGCTATCACAGCCTCAACCTGCTGGGCTTAGGCAATCTTTCTGCCTCAGCCTTCCAAGTAGCCGAAACTGTAGGTGCACACCACTATGCCTGGCTAATTTTTTTGTTTATTGCAGAGATGAGGTCTCGCCAAGTTGCCCAGACGGGTCTTAAACCCTTGGGCTCAGGCAATCCTCTCACCTTTACTTCCCAAAGTGCTGGGATGACAGGTGTGAGCCACTGCACCTGACCCTTTGGTGGCTCATTCTTGAGGAAACCCCTTAATAAGGTCAGTAAGCTCTTCTTTTAAATTTTTATTTATTTATTTAATATTTTGTAGGTTATGTATTTTATTGACAGGATCTTGCTGTTGCTCAGGCTGGAATGCAGTGGCACGATTATGGCTCACCACAACCTTGACTTCCTGGGCTCAGGTGATTCTTCTGCCTCAACCTCCTGAGTAGCTGGGACTACAGGCATGCACCTGGCTAA